GTTTAGGATGCATAGTTAGTATCTCCTAGTATATTCAGAGGTGTGCAGCTGTCACCACAATCAATTTTAGAACATTCCCATCACCCCAAAAAGAAAGCCTGCATCCCTTGGTCATCACCCCCAGCACTGCAGCCCCCCCATCCCCTGGCAACCACCAGTCTGACTTCTGTCTCTATAGATGTGCCTGTTCTGGGTATTTCCCAGAAATGGAATCACATGCTGTGCGGTCCTTCGTGATTAGCTTTTTTCATTTGACAAAACGTCTTCAAGGTTCATCCATGTTACAGCGCTTGTCAGTATTTCCATTTCTGTTTATTGTCGAACAGTACTCGGTTGTGGGGCTAAACCATTTAGCCATCCATCAGTTGATGGACCTTTGGGTTGCCTCTGCTTTTTGGCTATTCCTAATAATGCTGCTGTGAACATTTCTGTCCAAGTTTTGGTGTAAACATGTTTCCATTTCTTGGGGGAATAGACTTAAGAATGGAAATGCTGTCATATGGGTCATATGGTAACTCTGTTTTACCTTTTGAGGACCTGCCATACTGTTTTCCAGAGTGGCTGCACCATCTAACATTTTTATCCTAAGTGTATAATTCTCCCAATTTCTGTGCATTCCTGTCACCACTGGTCATCAGCTCTCCTGGTAGGTGTGAACTGGCATCTCATTATGGCTTTGATTTGCATTTTTCTGATGACTAAGAATGTTGGGGACCTTTTCATGTGCTTATCTATTTGTGTATCTTCTTTGAAGACCTGTCTGTTTAGGTTTTTGCCCATTTTCAAATTGGGTTGTCTTTTTATGATTGAATTGTCAGAGTCCTTTTTGTATGCTGGGTGCAAGCCTTTGATCAGATGTAGGATTTTCAAGTGTTTCCTCCTGTTCAGGAGCTTGCCTTCTTACCTTCTTGATGGTGTCTTTTGAAGAGTAGAAGTTTTTAATATTGATGAAGTTCAGTTAATCTATTTCTGTCTTCTACTGTCCTAAGAAACAAGTGCCAGATCCAGTCATGAAGACACACGCCTGTGTTTTCTTCTAAGAATTTTGTAGTTTTAGCTCTTTCATCTTGAGTTAATTTTATATATATTGTATGAGGTAGAGGTCGAATTTTGTTCTTTTGCATGTGGATATCCAGTTGTCCCTGTACCATTTGTTAAAAAGACTATTGTCTCATTCAGTTATTTGACACTCGTATTGAAAATCAATTGACTGTAAATGTGAGGGTTTCTTTTAGATTCTCAGTGGTGATGCATTGATCCATGTCTGTCCCATGCCAATACCAATTCAGATGTTATGAGAACTCTTTCAGAGTCTTCTTGCATATTACCAGTTGTTTTACATAATAATAAAAAGTTAGTGTCGCGGAATGTCTGTAACTCCACTTCTGTGGAGATCTGCTGCGTCCTGAAGGGGCCTGTGGCCAGCTTATGCCTTGCTGACTCTGACATGACAGAAAGTAGGCTTGCAAAGGTAAAGTCCATTCCTTCCCCCCATTCAGACCTTTAGTTTCTCACCCAGTGCCTCCCACTTCACTCCAGTTTCCATCAAATCATGGTCACGGGATCTGCTGACTCAGTCTGCAATACACTTCATTATGTTGCATTCATTATAATTCATAGACACATCCATAGATTTCACTACCTAGAGGCAAAAGATTAAGCCTGGAAAAGATTAATTCAACCTTCCTCTTTGGAAACCTCTCTAATCCATCATCTTGCGGTTCACGATGAAGTCCTCTTTTGGCTTGGTTCTTGTGTGTAACACTGGTGCCGATCTTGTTCTTGGTGTAGATCCTGCATTCTCAGCTCCCTGTGTCTACCTCCTTTTACTTAAAAGGAGAGATGCCTGGCTGTATTCTATAGCTTAATGCATAATTAATGAAATAAATATTTCATCCCATCCAAGGGAAATTTTCCAAGAGTACAGCTGTTAAAAATTGGATAATATTCAATCAGTTTATCAGAAACAGATAACAGATTAATAATTTGAATTTCAAAAGTTCAAAGCCAATCTGTGTGATATGGAGAAGCATTGTGCTACAACATGAAGCTGAGACAGTCTTACCTTCCCTTACCAACAAGCTTTTAAGTAAGGTAAAGGAAAAATTGTATTTAAATAATGCCAAAGGACACTACATTTATGGTTCCATAATATTTTATTTTCTCTCTAAGGAAAGGAAAATGAAGAGTGGGTGCTAGATTAGTTAAGTTCTCAAAGCTGCCTGTCTCTTAGAAGTTCAGTTCGTTGAAATGAGGTAAAAAGGTTGATTTTGGTAAACTGACTATTTCTTGTTGTTTTTCAATTATTAAACTTCACATCCTATGTCTCCTTGCTTACCAGTCTTCCTTATCCTCAAAGTTGAGGGGAAACTGAAATACATGCCTGTTTGTAAGAAGCTGTAATTGGAGGGAACTCTAAAGTACCTTCCTTCTCGCTAGTTCTGAGGTCTTTCTTTCAATTATCTGCTGCTTCTCATCAGCACTTTGTCATTAATAAGTTAATCTCAACGTTTGTTACATTCCAGTTTATAGGAGACCAATTTCTACTCTATTCAAGTTACATTTCTTACTATCTTTTTTCATCCACTCTTCTGTTTATCTGTTTTTGCCTAACAAACTCCCCAAAGTTCAGGGGCTTAAATAAGCATTTATTTTGTTCACAACCTACACTTAGGAAAAGTGTGGCCAAGACAGCTGGCCTCTATTCCTCTCAGCTTCAGGTGGGGCAGCTCGAAGGCAGGGGGCTGGAATCACGTGAAGGTTCATCCATTGATGTCTGATGGTTGATGGCGGCGGTGGGCTGTGGCTTAGGTGGGGCGGGCAGGTGGAGCACCTCCCCTGGAACACGGAAGCTGTCTCTGTGGCCCAAGCTTGCCCGCCTGAGACTGGGCTCCAGGGTTAAGAGCGAGGCAGAAGCTGAAGTGCCTTTTCAAACCGAGCCCTGCAGTTCACTCGGTGCCACTTCCACCGTTTTCTGTTCATTAGGAGCAGGGCACTTAAGGTTGGCCCATATTGTACCTTTTTTATGGAATTAATTTTGAAAATTTATGGAGACATTCAAAACCCAGCATAATCTACTCACTAGCCACAATGTTTTGTTACTGCTTCCATACGAGAAATCCACTTGTCCCTACTCAGGCATAAGCAGGTCTCGGTCGCTGTCGTAGGCTCAGGCTCCAGCCCCGGGTCTTACTTTCCCATCTTCACCAGGTCCAGGTGGGGCTGAGGCTCCTGGGCGTGCTTTCTGGAGTACAGCCCTTGGGTACACGCCTCAGTGCTGAGGCTTGAGGATAAGGAGACACGGGTTATTTGCCACCACACACCCAGCATTCTCCTGAACTGCTGAGGACTCCCTCACTCACAGATGGAAGATGGGAGGCACGCTGGCCCGTACCTGTTCTGCAGTGCAGCCTGATGCTGTTGGCTCTTTGATTAGGACTTAGTCCTAACCCTGGGAGGGGTTCTCCTTCGCTGCCCTCTCTAAGCTCTTTGTTCTGTCCCTTTCATGAGCAGTGACCTGTGTTTGCAGCTGAGCAGTTCTCTCAAGCCAGCTTCCTCCTTGTAGACCTTCTAAGAAAAGAGGCCCAAAGGCCTCCTCCCATTTTGCACTGTCTTGTCTCTTTCAGTCCAAGCTAGTAAGCAGTAGTTTTGCTACCACAGTTCTCTTTAAAACTTTGAGTTTCCTGTGAATTTTATTGGGGTTCCTGCCATTGGAAAAGCTACTCTCACGTCTTTTTGAGATAAACTCTGCACCTTGGGCTTCCTGTGAAGCTGTTGGGGGACCACGCCTTTGAAATTCTTATGCTTTTAAGATCTTTAAAGGAATTTGAGGCAGCACGTTAGACCTTTCCAAGGTCTTAACAGTCTTGGCTTCATCTTTAGACTGTTTTCCTTGGCTGCACCCTAGATTTGATCTTCGCCCGGAAGCCATTTCTCTGCTTACCCAGTATGTGACCATTGGGCATGTGGAGATGCTTTAAATGGGATACAGGTATTTGAACCTAGTGAATCCTGGTTCCTTTCTATTTAATAATCTTTTTGTTTGTTTTAGCTTATCTCTCTTGTCAATTTTACTTTCAGCTGTTCGGTAGCTATAGTCCCATTTCTTCCGGTTTCAGGGGCATCATTTTCTTCCCTGGCCTACAATCCTTCACTCTCAGCCCTTCAAGGGCCCTCAGGCTTCCACTAACAGTCTCGTGGACACTTTGGGTTTTCACTCTTACTCTTCTCTGCATCTGTTCAGGTTTCGCCTACCTCCAGGTGCAAAGGCATCCCCACATTTTGGGTTCTTTTTTAATGGCTGTGCCCCATTTTTAATATCAATAGCTGTGCCAGTTATTTATTGCTAATAATTTATATAATAAACTGCCTCAAAACCTGGTGACTCAAAACAGCATTTGCTTGGTTCCAAAATCTGTGTTTAGACAAGGCTCAGTGGAGCCAGCTCATTTCTTCTCCACTTGGCATCAAGAGGGCACTAAAATAATCTAAAGGCTTGTTCATGCACATGTCTGGAAGTTGGAGCTGGCTTTGGTTAAGGACATTCCCTGGGGTCATCAGCTGGGACAGCTGCGTGTACACACAGTAGGTTGCCTGGGCTTCACAACGTGGTGGCTGGGTTCTAAGGGTGAGCATCCCTATGGAGTGAAAGTCAGAGGCCATTTAGCCTTAGAAATCACACAGCAGTGCCCCCATGTTCTGTCCCCTAGAAACCAGTTGACTGAGGCCAGTACATACTTCAGGGGAGGGAATTTCGCAGGGAAGTGTCAAGGAATTTGTAGAGATGTATGTTTTACAACCACCATCTCCGCCTGCCTTGTCTCACCAAACAATGCGTCTATCTGAAGGAAAGCAGTTCTTCCCAAGCCAGTGTCACTGAAATTCCAGCAAGTTTTTTTGTTTGTTTTTGTTGAGTATGTTTTCTTGTTTTGTGGAGAGCCACAAAGGATTACAAGAATGAAAGCTTTTTTGTTTGTTTAGAAGAACTTATGGGTCATCTTACTAAACCACTACACTAGGAGATGGATTTCTCCTTAACTCTGTGAATCATTCATTGCTCCTTGGAATGCAATTCAAACTAGCATAAAATATTTGTAGTTCGGAGAAAGGCTTATGGCATTAGAATCCGTATTTGTAAGATGTATTAATTGCAGTCTTTTTTTCAAAGTCTTGTTTTGGGAGGCATTTATTAATTCAGCCCTTAAGTAATTCAATATGATCTCCCTAAAACTTTAAAAATCATGAAGAGTTAAGACTTGGGGAAGGAAGGGGTAAGAGACTTTCTACTAAGAGGTGCCTTATAGTCATTTTATGTAGGAAAGACATGGAACAATTACAGAAAAATAAGAGTGTAAAACCAAGTACAAATGTATAACAAAGATGATGACAATAAACAGTATATTTTTGTGACTCTTGGTGGTTTGAACTTTTTTTCTTGATTTTCTGAGTAATTTGAGTTTCTCCATTCCACAAGGTAGATATACCATTTTATTGTAACTGAATTTATTTCAACCTTTGATGCTGGGTTAGAGTTAGGCTGTTCTCAGTCTGCTAACCTCTTACCAAACAATTTTACCTTTTTCATGCAGAATGCCGATCTTCCAGCAAAAGAGGAATCTGCG